GTAGTGCTGCGGCGTGTGGCATCGTTGATCGCGACGGCATTCTGCACGCGATGCGCTAGTTTACTTGAAATGTTTGGGAAAATATCGGAGGGGGTTTAGGGGCCCCTTAAAAAAGGTCACTGTGTGATAGTAGTTTCATCCTTTCATCCCTTGGTTATGCTGCACAGGTGGGTAAACACTAATTGTACAATTTATGCAGTGTACATGACATTCACTTATCAAGGTTTTGAAGGAGCTTTGCTCCTGCAGCCGTATCATTTTTTTAGCCGAGTATAGTAGACACTTATACAATCATTTTCTCGACAGTCGCTCCAGATCCTATTTTAATTATTAAATGTGAGGAACTACTTAGCCCATTGTGGCGGGTAAGTTGATACACTACCAAAAGCATTTGAACACACACTTCTTCAATCACATGAGCTGCAAAACTATCTGCAGTCTCCATGTGTCCAAAATTAAGGAGGCCCCCTTATTGTGGTGCTCTCCGTAAGCATGAAAACAAGCTAACAAATGGCTTGTCAAAATGGTTGATTGAACGAGTTGGTGATTCATCATTTCAAACCATGATGAATGGCATTTCAAAGCATTCCATTGCTCAAGCTAGCAACGGATGCCACATTGATGAAGCGAGGTCTTTTTACACTTGAGGCATACATCTGTTGAACTTGTCAAACTTTTCTGAAAGCATTTCTATTCATTTTTAAAGGGCCAGTTAACAGGCTTCGACCTTTTTTTTTAGTCCCCCCCCCCCCCCCAACAAGCTCCGTAATTTGTAGAGTAGACCGCAGCTATCACGTTTTCTGGAAATTACAGGACTGCACAATGCACAGCCTCCATTTCGAAAAACAATTCTCGCGCTCTTTTCCTACACCTGACCAATGTCCTTGCACGCGCAGTCGCGACAACTAGGCGACGTGTCGCAGCACACAGCTTGTCAATTGGTCTAAACTAGGTCTCAACAAACAGTAGTGAAGTCAACGACAGTTCCTGTTCCCACCCACAGTTACAACAAAGCTATTCAATCACACGAGATGCGAAACTCCCCATAGGCTTCATGCATCGAAATCAGGACGCTTCCCTGACCAAGAATTTAGGAGTGAGCAGATTGTCGCGCCACCTGTTTGATAGGCGCACCCACTATTAAGCACATTATATGTGTTTTGTGTTGCTGCTCCCAGATGGCGCAGCAGTCTGCTCCCAAAAAATTGAACTCCAGAAACACCTGGCCAACTTCATGTCCGGGTTTCGCAATGCAGTTTTGCTGCAAATCGAGCGACTGGGCTGCGGAAAAGCATCGGCACCGGGTAAACGAAATACAACCAGGCATCGCAGCAAGCGGAAGTGCGTTGCGACTGAGTTCGCCGATGAGGTCATTCGCTGACGTCTTGTCACATTGCCGAAGTGGGCGGAGTCACGACGGCGGGCCAAGCCTTCCGCTCTTTCTGAAGAAGGGTGGCGAGACCATGCAAAAATTTTAAACCGGCTGAACGCTATGTTCTAGCGCCTGTAACTTCCCTAATATAGCCTGTATTCGCAAACTTCTTGCGGCAGCATGTTCACGTAATAAAAAAACTGCACATATTTCTCTTTAGAACAATTTTTGAACCTTGGGGTTGTTTACTGGCCCTTTGAAGCAGCAACTTATGAAAGTAACTGCAAGGACTGCTGCGAATGTAACTAAGTGGTCCCCCCCTCCGTCCCAACCTACGTGGCCGTCTGCGACCCCTCTGCAGTTTCATCCGCCGGCAGGTCCAGGTTTTGAAACAGTTTCGCAAATCGTGCGATTGACGAACTTTGAGTCGAGCACACAGTCGATACACACCTTGTGTTCAATGTTTGTCTGCTGGCTGCGTTCGAGGTGCACTTTGATGAGCCGGCTGCCGTCGAGGCGCACCCGCACCCGCTTGCCGACGATCTCCGCGGGGAAGACCAGGTCCTCGAGCAGAGCGTCGTGCACGGCCGTGAGGGTGCGCGAGCGTGGCCGCTTCTGGCGCTGGCGCGTCTTACGCGTCGGCTTAGGCAGGATGTTGCGCTTGGCCAGGAAGACCACGTACTGGCCGCTGTACTTCTTTTCCAGCTCGCGAACGAGTCGCGCCTGAATGCGCTGGTAGGCCTTCAGCTGGGGCACGGGCACGTAGATGAGGATGGCCTGCATTGTCACACGAGGGAGGGGCCATCACCATCGACCGAGAGACTTCGCAACTTCAGTGCAAGCATGCACTCCGGTTGTCAGAAAAGATGCGAGAAAAGCCGACTCATGTTTAGCATATAAAATGACATTGTATATTCAGGAAGCTAGTAGGAACGAGACTGAATATGCTTTAAAAGGATGAAATCTGTTCAGCCACACATGTGATGTCTTTGCAATTACCTCAAAAACAACACACTTCGCATTTTTTACTGTAACAGATTTTTCATGTTACTTGTTCTCAATTTTACGTTAATGTAAAAAATGAGAAAATGTACAATATAAATTGCTGTGTGCAAGACGAGACAAGAAACTGGAATCCTGCTCAAGCACCTGTTCAGTCTAACACTGCAAAGCAACACTGGGGGTTCATATTCTTTTTCATGAACATGGCTGCCATTGTCTCTTGATTCCGTCCATGCGCCAAAAAGCAACAGTGGGATGCACCATAAATGAACCACCAGGAGTAGCACGAAGTGTACTGAAATATGGAACTTCCAAGACAGCTAATTCGTTTGTACCTTTCAGCTGCGCGGTAGTGGCCTGGTAGTAATGAAATCAAATGCTGTGTGGGAGGTGGCTATCAATGCTTACGAATATTAGTGTTTCACTAACATGTTTTACATGTATATTTTCAGGTCAGCGGGCTCTGGCTAATTGACAATCAAAGTGTGGTTACAAGATAGCGGGCCTATAGCAGCTCTAACAATGACAGACGCACGAACTTCTCAAGCGAACAATCTTGGGCGGGTTGTCTGCATTCAAGTCCGCATCTAGACACATGCAGCAAATTTCCTAGCAATTCATGCCAAGTAATCTCTACATCACTTCGGCATACAAATATCGGCGATGGTGCAACCCGACATCAAGTCTCCTCCATGCCATGCAAAGCGAGTATTCAAGCGAAGCGACATACCGTATATCCGTCGCAGCCTTCAGAAAAAAATTAGAGTGCATTAACGTGTTTCACGATCAGCGCTGCATCACTGGACACGTGTTTCATCACTAGGCTGCAGCCGACATAGCAGGGTGTCCCGATTCGGCGTGAACATGGCCGAGCCCCGTCTACCGATCACGGCAAGTAAAAACAGAGCACAACGTTCATGAATCGTGTCGGTTATAGGTTTACCTTCTTCCCGTTGACTTCGACAAGCTTGGCCTCAACAATGTGCAGTTCTCGGAGTTGAGCCTTCAGGTCGCTGTTCATTTCCAGCTCGAGGAGGGTCTGCACAGAACAGTTTGACGGGACCACTATAATCAAACGGCACCAGTTCAGGGAGACGGCCAGTATCTTACCTGCGAGATGCCCGCCTCGAACGGGTCAACTTTTTCGCCCTGAGGCTTTATGATCTTGACGTTTTGCGAATACATCTGCAGGCAAAGCAAACGAATGGTTTCAGCGATCGCGGAACCAGCGTGACTCGAAAGCCGTGTCAGGTCAACTAAATGTCGCAGATAAATCAGACTGCCAATGACACCGGCAGGCTGTTCACTGACACAGTTCAGAAAATTGCAACCGGCGGCATTTAAACAATCACAAATACATTGTTTGACCCGACCCGTCGACACGGCGCGCTGTGCCAATGCACGCACCTCGACGTTTAATCTACAGTCATCAAAGAAAGTACAGCGCCCGCACAACCTTTCCGTTGTAGCTACAACAAAACCACTCCAACACTGCCTAAAGAAATCAAAATTTACGCGATCTTACCACTAACTACCCAAATTTTAAAGAGTTTAAAACATTAGAAACATCAATTCACACACTACCTTGGGCGCTTACGCCGGAAAAGGAAGTTGAGAGATACGACTCCTAGGCTGAACACCAAAGTAGCTAAAAGAGCGCAAAACAGATGGCGCTGGTAATTGACTACTTATTTTAGACTGAACGCAGCCCGCCGCTAGCTGACACACCAATTCAAGCGTAAGGTTTTGAACGATTACTACACTTCAACAGACTTTCTGACGAGTGACGACATCAAGGGGTGCGCCGTTCACGTGATTGCATGACGTCATGGTTGCCGTAAATTTGTGGCGGCGTATGAGTGAGTAAACACGCTCTTTGTCTGGCACGCAATCGGGGGCGTTTCACGGAAAGTTTCCTTCGATTCTTGTTTGGCTGCGCTAGCTGCGCACAGCGATGGTGACCATAACAAATAAAATGGAAGGACACGCAACCACGAAAACACAAGTGCGTTTTTTTCGGCGGCTGTGGCCCACCGAACATCGAATTTCGCATGCACATAGAACGCCGCTCAGTGAACCTGCATGAATTAGTTGAAATAAAATGATTTTATTCAACGGCGAAAGCTCGCAGCAAAATTTCAATTTCATTCGAAGTGTCCCACGTTATGCTAGAACGCATATAATATTGGAGGACGAAAATATGCTCGACGATGCCTCCATATTTGCGATTGTTTCACACAAAAGGTGTAACAAAGATGTCAAGTGACGCACTACAGGCAAATATTGCAGCGTAAATGCCTAGTACTTTGCGTAGCGTTTGTAACACGCCAACGAGGCGCGAAAACTGGGAGATTTCCACGCGCATTCTGCGGCGGGCTGCCCAAAAACGCGCCCCCAGCAACAGCGAGAGACCACAAGGGCCGTTGTTTATTCCAAGGAGCCTCCCCTCAGCACGGTCAGCCGGGGAGCACGCAGTTCAGCAGCCGCTGCGCACGTGCTCAAATACTCCCCGAGCACGCCGCGATCACGTGCAAAGCGGTGCGCCATTGGACGGTTCCGTCGAGCCCTCGAACGCCGATTGGACGGCCTAGGGCGCGGCCCCCCAAGCTCGACCTTAGAAAAGGGCTTCTCGACGCGCCGGCCGCTTTTTCACTTCACAGAACCCCCTACGTGCGAGACGTTCCAAAACTGGCTCTAGTGCGTTGCTGTGTTGGAACATTTTCGTACTGTTGTGGTGACTGGGAAGAAGCCGCTTTCCATGACACGTTTCTTGCAAACGCCTCCGCCGCACGAAGAAGACTCTGTAAGTACAGACTGCAACCCACGGCGACTGCCAGCCGTCCCGTCATTTTTTTGGGGCTGTTATCTGTCCTGCGCACACCCGAACTTGTGCTCTTTCTGTTCTTCGGTGGCATAAGCTTTTTTTTTTTACCTCACTCTTGCGGGATCTTTGGAAAACGAGCGGAATACTTGCGCGCGCGCTGACTGGTGCAAATAAAAAGCCGCCCCGTTACGTTGGGGCGCGCAAATCTCGTGAAACACTGGCTGTCGGCGTGTCTTCCATCCCCTCTGGCGTTTTATATACGTCTTCTTGCTTGTTCCGTGTCCGTCTTGTCCCCAGTGTTATTCGGAGCGCCCCAAAGGTAAGAGGCCATCATCGCCACCGACCGAGCCAGTCAGCTGACGATCAGAGTCCCGGAAATGCCACTGCCAGGAAACCACTTCCGCGTTGCCTGCCGCCCTCATATTAGATACCGCTGGTGTGCGCATTGTGTGTGTGTGTGCCATTTCATTGCCGAAGTGTTTTTGTTAGCCGACTGCCTCGTTTGGGCCGCCGGGGTGATAACTGAAGCCAAGAGCATCCTCCCTTTTGCGATAAGAGCGCTCTCGTGTTTGCCTTTCAGCGGGAGCTGCCATGCTGCGCCGAAGCGGACACTTTTTTTTTCTTTTTCGCAGACAACGTCGGTGTGATAGCAGGCGCACTACGCGCCCAAAGTTCAGATAAGGGCCGAGATAAGCTGGCCGCCACAAAGCGATGTCATATCCGCCTAGTGGTCAACGCACGTACCTTGCTCAAAGAAAAAGTGTTCAGAAGGTCGTAGTTTTAGTGTATATATATCTAAGCAAGCTATAACGTTGTGAAGTATTAAGAAAATCTGTTTGGGTACAAAAAAAAAAAACGCCTTCACGTGTGAATAGTTAGCATAGCTGTTCGCTGTGGAAAGCAAACGAACCATTATTTTCTGCCTGCTGAAGTGCAGTGTTCATTTATATCTCAAAAAAGTATACACGGGAAGGTTGCATTTGTGAATGCTGGTTGCGGTTAGACTGCAGTTTTAATAAAGTTGATACAGTTTACTCTGTAGGAATGCCATAAGGCTAAGTAAACTAAATTGTAGTTATTATCACGAACTTGCACATTTTCCCAGTGTGTGAATAAAGGAAAGATTGTAATTAGAGTTTCTTCGTGAGGGCCTTGCAAGCATTCCTTTCTTTTGCAGCAAGCCTAATATTGGGTCATAGACCCTTTCGAGATTTCCTTCGCTAGGTTTGAAATGTTTAGAACCTCTGTTTGATTACTATACTTCTGCATAGTTCCTAAATGTTTTCTACGGTGTTTTTACTGCATTGTTGTGATCAAGTAAACATGCAATTAAAATATCTGCTATGTGGCATGTCTTGTAAGAAAGAAAAGAAATAGCTCCTAGCTCACTGTGGATAAGGTGTATTTAGGTGAAGCCAGTGCTGACTTTTGGATGAAAGTGCTTGACTGCGATGCATGAAACAACACTAGTATTTGTTTTTTCTTTCACATTACTATTGTTAATAGTTATTAAGCCTTGTGGTTTCATCTCTTGAAGCACGAGTGATGTCACACCTTTGCTCTGGCATTGGGCAGGCCTCTTTATTAAAGACAATGCCACAAAAAAACTGAAAAAATGATCCAAATGACTTGGAGTGTGTCCTGTTGTGTGTGCATCCGCGCGTGGGCATTCCAGGTACGACATGGTGCTCAGACAGTGAGCGACCATGGGTGTCTTTCAGATGGACAGCACAGCCTACAGCAGCTGCGGCGGCGTCAACGTCGTCGCGCACCTGGCACGCGCAGACTATTTTGCAGTGGAGACACTGCTCTCCATGAGCGGTCGAAGCAAGGAGGCTTCCGGGATCATGCCTCCTCCACCACCAGCTAGCGACCTCACTCCGCCAAACTCCGAAGATGAGCAGGAAGAGACGACACCTGTTCATCGCCAGCAAACCATGCCCGGCTCATCGGAGCTGGCCAGGGTACGCCACACACCACATCATCCTCTTCATCAGATGCACCATTTGGCTGCGGCAGCATTACCCCGTACCACACTGTGTTTGCAGACGCACTCATCCGTCACAAAACACCTACTTGAGTACTTTGGCCCGCTAGTTCCATGTATAGCCACACAAAGATAGCTATTAGTAGCAAGCGACAAATACAAGCTAGTAAGTAAAGATTCATCGTAAAAGCTAAGGAGTCCAAACTTGGACACAAGAGGCAAAACTAAAAATTTCGACACTCAACTGAACGTCTTAATTTGTGGGGTCTTGTCCTTTAGCGTCCATTTTTGGCACGACTTGCCAAGTGTAGGCAACACGCTTTAAGACGGGGTAGCAGCTGAGGTTAATAGAAAGAGCTGAAAACAACATTGACACACCACTACTTTTAACAATACTGGATGCTCTGTAACTTTCGAAAAATGAGTCTGGGCTGCGGGGAAATCCCACATTAGCTCTTTCTCTTATTTCATGACATTCACTGTAGTTCATTGTCGCATAGCAGCTGTATAGCCTGAAGAAACGCCAACTGCGGCAAACAATAGTGTTATTTTTCCATTACCACACAATCCTGATTGTCTTCTGAAGCACTCGAGGCAGCTACAGCGTCTCAGTACTGAATTGTTTTCGCACAATGGGCTGCTATTCAGACATGAGAGTTTTTGAGTCATACATACATACGTACAGTTAAATGTACGGTAACGTGTCATTTGCTCTTTTTGATGCAAACTTTTATGAGCATGCTTGTGTGTAGCACAGAACTGACGTGGCAAACTAGGTTGGGCACATAGTCTCTTCGAGATAAATTTATTACACATAAAAGATTTCGGAGGTAATAGTGTAATAGTAAAATTAGCTTTAGTTAGTATACGAGTAATTCTCACTGTCATTTTAGTTTTTTGGGGGGGCACTGTGATAAGCTGGCACTGAGTGCACATGTTGCTCATACACAGTAGCCTCTTTTTACACTGCAGTGGGCATTGTAGCTAAATTGGGTTAGGCGGGCTGATAAAAAATGCGCTGCACTGCTAAATGCCTGTCTCCAAGCAGGCTTAGCTTAAAGACATAAAATGGTCTTCCAGCAAGTCCTAAGATATATATGTGTAATTTTTTTGCTCTGTAAGTGTGCAGAACTGATATAATCTGAGGCTTTTACTGTATTACATCCCTTGCTTATCTCTCAGCCCTCGCAACTGGATGATCTTACAACAATCCAGGTGTGTCCTGATTAAGTGCAAAATGTACTATAATTAGCCTAGTAGTCGAGTTATGCGTGAACACATGTGGAACACTGTTGCTTGTTTATAAATAACATACGACTTCATAAACATCATTAGTGGTTAAGCGTTATACCTCTTTTAATACAGCATATAATATTGTCATCTGTGACCTGTAGTGTAAAACTGGGCTAGTATATATAACTGTGCACTTTTTAACTGAAGAAATCCCACTTATTCATTTCCTTTTACATGAAAATGCAATTCCTGACACACTCGTGGCATCAGCAAAGCCTAAAAGAAAAACAGAAGAAATAGTGAATGTGGGGTTTTACACAAAATCAATTATAAACTCTGGCTGCTAACTCTTTCATATCTGAACGCAGATAACCTATTGCTCACTGAAATTTACAAGCGACTTATTTTATTAAATTGATGTGAAAAAAAAAAGCTGCCCTCTTAGCATTAAGAGTACATAAAGCTGTTTACAATAAACCCACACTCGTAGGTATCATTCAGTCCCCACCCCTCATAGAGAAATGACATGCTGTGAAGTGGGAGCTACGGTTCTTAAAAATGAGTAGGGTGACTGTATTTTGGTGCCAAAGGTGAAAAATTGGACCCAAGTGCAGTTTGTTTCTTGCTTTGATGAGCCAGCTGCCAAAATAACACAATGTGAGAAAGCATATGCGACACTTGCCACCTGTATCTACGGCACCTCATGCACCTTTGAAGTGGTCTAAAGGTTGAGGCTGCTACAGTCCAACAGCAAATTATGTTCCATTGCACTTTTGATGGTGGAAAGCCTTGGAGCATTGGTTTTCAGCAACTTATTCAGTTTATAGCAGTGCATGTGTGTACCTGATGGAATGCACATTCAGCTGCTGTATCTACATTAGCAGAAGTGTTGAACCTCATTCCGACGCAAGCAGGGTTTTCCGTCTGTTCACTGAATCACATTAAAAATGCACAGTTCACTCATGAGGTGTCATGGTTAGGAACCATTAGAAAGTGGCAGGAAAGAAAAGTGGTGTGAAATATTTTATGCAACATATTACTGCAGAATATCTGACTACCCCATGCAACTATTGGTGTAATTGAGTTCAGTTCACCAGTGTGCTAAAGACAGATGCGGTGAGCTGACAGGCACCTGGTAACAGATGTGGATTACATTTGTCTTAAATGGGCATAACTTCATAGCACATTACAATTTCATCATTGATGATTGATTTATATGTGGTGTTTAACGTCCCAAAACCACCATATGATTATGAGAGACGCCGTAGTGGAGGGCTCCGGAAATTTTGACCACCTGGGGTTCTTTAACGTGCATTCAAATCTGAGCACATGGGCCTACAATTTCATCAGCAGTTGTTTGCTTTTAGAGTAGTGGTCATTTCTTTGAACCTAACTACCTGCATATGTATCTGTCACTGTGACATTTGAGTAATGACCTATATTTTTGAGGGATGAATACTATTCTTGACTTTTCTGTTTTTCGATTTCTAATGCTTTGAAAACAGTACCGTGAGGGAACTGAAAGTAATTTTCATTCTAGAAATATGTAGGTGTTGTTCGTGGTGAAAACAAAAAATTTAGACAAAACTCGCATAAGCGACACGCTGGCAACAGCTCGAAACTTCGTCTGCAGTATTCAGTGCCTGCATCAGCATTAGAACTTGGTACATGCTTTGGTGCCACCAAGGTGCATTCACTCAAAAACTACTGACGGAAATGCTCAATACCCAATAGGCCTGCACACATTAGTTTGAAGTATGTCTCAAGTACATTGTGTGGAAAGCACAGTAATCCAGAAGTGCTACCACTGAGGATCGCTTGCATTGTGGTACACAAATATCTTCCTAAATGCAAAGATTCTGGCGGTGTGCCGTGAAGTGTTTAAATGCTAAGCACAGCCTCGTTTCGGCACTTGTTGCGTGTGTGAGAGCTAATGTCAAGAAAAAAAAAGTGCTTCTTGGCTTTGGAAAAGTGTGAAGTGTATTAAAGGAAACCTTAGTTAAAAAGCAAAGATGGAAAGGTAGTTCACTCTGACTGTGTAAACCCCTCTTTCTCCAAAATTGAGGCATCCTATTAGTAGAATCTTCAGCTCATTGTATGTCATTTCCTTAATGGTCCTGAACTGGGGAGAAGGAATACCACAGTGTAGCATTGCAAACATAGTTTCAGCCGCTAAACGAATTGCGTTTTTATAAATTTACTTGTGCGTTAGGTCCAAATTATGCCTGTCTTCAGAGGTGGAGGTCAGTGTTGGAGCCAAGCAGTGATACGCTGCCGGTTTCCCGTCTTTCCCCCTATTCAAAATTGGGAAAAGAGGTCAAACAGAAAAAGCGAGCACTCGCGGATAATCTTTAGTTTTAAAACTTTCAAGCAGATGATTGCAAACTCTCAAGAGCACAAACAAATAATACAGACGTGAAAAAAACGCGCATTACCTAAAATGTAAGAGAGCCTGCAGCAGTGTTCTCCATGGGCGTCCGCGGGAGGGGGGGGGGGGGTGCAACTTGACCCTCACCCACTTCCTCATATATGAAATGCTCATGGTGTGTGGAGGAGCGTGGGCGAAACGTTTTTCGGGGGGGGGGGGGGGCACTCGTTGAAGGCTTTGAAAAACGCCTACCTTTATTCGTCCTCGGTCAAACCCTCTCTACCGGAATTTCAGGGGGGAAGTCTAGGCCCCTCCCGGCTGCACGTTTGGGCAAGTTCTTAGTCTGGAGTGGTCGACCGTCATTTTGTACGCTGTCTGTCATGGCGAAAATATATCGAGGGGGCGCTGGCCCACTGTGCCACCCCCGGGCCACGCCAAGGCTTTATTACCTTTACCCCCGACCTCACACACCTGGTGTACCCTAGCGTCATTCATTTCATGTCATCGTTTTTGTGCGTGTGCCTGTCTGCCGTATCTGTGCTGTGAGAGTTCAGTGTGTCCCTTTTTCTTTTCCCCTACCAACAGCTGCTTCTCTCAGACAACCCAGTCGCTCCAACGCCAACAGCAGCCAGCCATCGTACCTGCACTCCCGTTTCAGTGATCGTCCGAGCTCCTCCGCGCACCAGCCCGCCGCCGGTGATGGCAACGCCCGCTGTGATACGTCAAGAGCCGGCAAGACCAGTGGTGGCCATCGCGCCAAAGCCTCCCGCCACGGCGATTCTCCCCATGATGCGCGCCGACGAAGCCCTCGTCCAGACGGCGCTCGTTCCGGTCGGGGCCGTGCAGCTCCTCGTTGCGCGGCCCGTTCAAGCCGCGTTGCTCGTCAACGCCGCCCCGGTGCCCGAAGAGCGCAGGCGCTCGTACGTGTGCAGCTACGCGGGCTGCGGCAAGACGTACTTCAAGAGCTCCCACCTGAAGGCCCACGTCCGCACGCACACGGGCGAGCGGCCGTTCGGCTGCCAGTGGGCGGGGTGCGGCCGGCGATTCTCGCGCTCCGACGAGCTGTCGCGCCATCGGCGCACTCACACGGGCGAGAAGCGCTTCTGCTGCCAGCTGTGCGATCGGCGCTTCATGCGCAGCGATCACTTGGCCAAGCACGTCAAGCGACACGGAAGCAGCAGGCGCGTGGCACTATGGCCACCGGTGCGGTCCGTTTGAGCCCGTGTTGTTTAACTCCCGTTGCGGTGTGGGATTCATCGCAGAACAATGACTTGTCGTGTTAGGTTTTCGAAAGAGACGGGCTGCCCAGCTTGTGACGAGCACGCAAGGTGCCAATGAAGGCGATTGCACGACAGGCGGCAGACCCTCAGGGCCTTCTCCAGGCCACAAAACCTGGAGTTGAATACACACAAGCGTGCCAAACTAGCCCGCGAAATTCTGGTACGTACATAATCGAGCCTCAACGCGAGGCACGGCGAAGGCGATGAAGTGTTCCCTTCCTGCTCAAGGAAATGTCGATATGCTCCCGCTGCAAGTAGCCCAGGTGGCTGAGGCAGCACTGTTCATTGTGTATATATGCTTGTACAAAGACATTTTTGACAAGAGATATATATAATTTATGAATAAAAGCCAAAGGGTGCTGGTCTCCCTTTGTGTTCCATTGATAGCACAACACTATTCCTTCAATACGATCGGAAGGTAAGGCGCATGAGCACAAAGCAGCACAACAAACATTGTTCTTCGTCGAGCACCGACTCGATTTGTTCACACAGATGGATGAACAAGTTAGTACCTCTGATCTGTTTCCACTATTCTAAGTGAACTTCTTTTTAGCTATCTTCTAAAGAAAAGTCATTTAGAATTTGCTTTTGCAACGAGATCTGCGAATGTTTTAGGCTTCGACTGTATATTGTGTATGTGAGAGCATGGTCATTTCGCACAGGCTGGAAAGTAAAAAAAAAGCAGTGACAACACTCCCATGTTTAACCCCACCTTTATAGCCTCATAAAGTAGACTGGGAGATTACCGTCGTTGCAGCTCGGCTGGTAGAGCATCGGACGCGTTATTCGAAGGTCGCACGCACGTTCGGTCCCTTGCGTCGGCAGCTTAACTAGATCTTCGTGCACTTTTCTTTCTTCCTTTACATTACAGTAACTCCCTCTCTGTTGTAACATCTATACTTTCCTTGGTATCACTGTTCTCACCAATATTTTCTCTGTAAACTATACACTTTGTCTTCCAAGAAAATTGGATAATACGGTTTATAGCACATGAATAAAAACGACATCAAATGTAAATAAGTGGTTCAAATTAAGAGCTAAATTAGATATATATCAGAGCATAATTTTGCAACAGCTAATCAACTGTCATAGAAGAAGGGTTCATTAAAATGAGGAGAAATGAACTTTTCGAATGGGGGAACTAGGGGACCGCAACCATGTAACAGGCCAGTCTGCCAGTTTCGTCTGTCCAACGTTTATGGTAAAAAAGCTGTCTGCAAAAGCTTATCGCGAGGCGCGTTGTTACTCATCCTGAGAATCCTGGCCGCAAATTACTACCAGAAAGCGAGATTCTGCCGTGATACTGTACAACGAATGCCCCCACTCCCAAGTCCGAATCACTTCCTCATGCCATGTCGCCAATGGTTATACTTCGGCTGCTACCAGCACAAAGTGCTTCACCAAAGAAAATATAGGTCACGGCATACTGGCTGTTATATCGGCCGCAAACACAAGGCGCCCTTGAATTCTGTATTACTTCAAAGCCTCCCATCTTGTCTTTCCGTTACACTCTCTGTTAGTTTTCAAAATTTTATTGTGTCCATTTGTTCGTCACTGATATTTCACGTTGGACTTGCTGCGTGTCATGTTTTCCTATGTGTTTTATATTTCTTCCGCGATATCTTCTACAGCGGTGTGTTGTAGTACAAATTACATGTGCGAAATCTGGTATATATATGTATAGCCAGCAGAAACTAATCCGCTTAATTTTTGCAGGTAAGGCCATTCAAAGGGGTGCTGAGACATTTTTTTTTCTTGGCTGCAATATATGCTGGAAGCACGGCATGTCGATCAATCGCTGCATCGTGCAACAGCTAACTAATGATAATGTGTGTGTTACCGAGCTGTCTCATTTTGGAGAGCTACTAGAACGACAAGCCGCCTTGTGCAACTAACGCTTCGTGAAACGGCACACAAAAGTAATGCACTTCCGCGCTGCCTACGTGGTCTCTCGTACGCGGCATGGTCGTTGCGTCATTGTGACCTGGTGCCAAAGACTTTCGCGGGGCTTCCACCCGTTCGCGGCGAGCACGGACTGGCGAGAAGCAGCTGCTGAATAGCATAGAGTATACAATAGAGGGAACTCTGGCGCTTGCGTCTAAGACAGCTGCGCATGCCGCTTCAGCGAGCGTGGCAATTATGAGTAGTACACCGTCCTTGTCAGGAGACACTCCGTAAACAGGGTGGCTAGTTTTTCTAACACAATCTGTCCTCAGTCTTTCAGCAGATCTTATATTACCCGATTCTCACCAGCAGCTTTGCCTCTTTGCATTCCCTCCAAGGCTTTTCTAGAAAAAACTTCTGTCATTACTGGTAGGATGTAATCTTGGTTACTGCTGGTTCTTACATTATCGTCTAGGTTGTCCCGGCTACTGTGCAGATCTCTGTAAAAACTTCTTTGCTATTTTAACTATCCCATTTATATTGATAGTTACTTTGCCTTGCTTGTCCATTAGTTGATACATGTGGTTTTTGCTTATCCCCTGTATTCTCTTCACTGCTTTGACGCTTCCTCTGTTCTTTAGAGACTAATAATATGGTGGTTTTGGGACGTTAAACCCTGCATATCAATACATCTATCCGCTCTTTTGAGCGTAAAAGGCTACGTCTACTTAGGGCAGGTAATAACCGCGAAGGCAAACCACGAGATTGAAGAAACTAGAAGAATAAAAATGTGGTGGAGCACATTCGGCAAGCACTCTCAAATCATGACTGGTAGATTGCCACTGTCCCTCAATAGGAAAGTAGTAAAGATTAAGATGATGGAGGTAATCCTGATGGTTCAGATGACCTCGACGACACGTTGAAGGACTGGACAGGACCGGTTGCTCAGTTCCCGGCAAATTTCACTTTATTTACACACTGACACTTAATCACAATCAAAGGCAGGGACGCCCACTAAACCGAACGCACAGTAAGCACTGGGCTGTATTCCGAGCCCTTAGTATACTGCACACAATACACACCGACACAATCTTCTCGATGTAGTATCAAACGTACCCTGGATCAGAGTCGGCGCCAAGCGCGACCTCTGTCCACGCTTCCCTATCTCGTCCTCGAGCACCAAGCTCCCCTCTTCATTAAATACCCCCCGTCTCATCTGAGACCACCTCGTGGGACGAACCCTTTCTTGATACTCCACCAATGCACCAAACAACTGTCCTTTCTTCAGAGACGTGTTTCCACCTTTGCGTTCCCAAACTTTGCTGTCCTCACTCTCCAAGAAATCAGCTAAAGAACACCGTCATTTCGTCAACGTACAGTTTGAAATCACTTTCGCGCAACAACAAGCCTAGCTAGGCAGACGGTTGGCTGTCTGGAATTAGTATACAAGATACTGCCGCATGTCCACACTTATTACTGTGACAGCGCTCCGCCACATTATCCTGTCGGGAGGGTTGTTGCGACAACACGGAGGAGTGCGCGACAAGGACCATTTTTCCTAGACCATTTTTTCGCCGCGAGTACGCTGCCGCCGTGCGGGTGACTCACCAGCGAGCGCAAGGTGCGGTGAACAAAAGCTTACGGGGTTTGCCAACAAAGGCGCGTGCAAGGGCGAACTGCTTAGTGACAAGTCTGCGCAGCCGCTTTTCATTATCCCTCCTCTTCGTGGGGCACCATATGTCGACTGGCCATTTTTCGCTTGCCCCACATATAACTTAATACCCGTGCCACACAGGCATAGAAAATGACATTTGGTGGCGAAGGCCTTCAGTTCCCGAATGACATTTGTTTCGCCGGCGCTGCTACACGTCCAAAGCGAATGACATTTGACTTGATGATGTCGATCGCAGCACCTTCCAAGTGAGCATTGGGGGAATAGCAATAAAAAAATAAACAAGCGTTTACAAGCTTCATACACATCATATAATCATTAAAAATAGAAATAAGCATATTACGCTGCCCTAAGTTGTAGTTTCTTGCTTTGTTTTACGACGTTGCCGCCGACCGTAGCAACGTAAGCCAACACTAGTCAAATCCACAGCGTAATTAGAAAATGGCGCCTGTCGCATCGCACCTGTCGCATCTCTCAGAAGATGTTCGCAAAGTTCATTTTTTTCACGGCAGCACTTGTGTGTTTCCGTGTAAAGCATCGCGCTCAAGAGCGAATAATTCTGGAGCAAAGACGAGTTAGTATGCGTCAGCTTCAGTACATTGAACTTGAATTAATTTTAAACCATTTCAAACTGACCTTCGTATAACGGTCAAAGCACTGTTTTTAAAAGTTTAGTGCAAATAAAAGACGGGAAGTTTTATTTTTAGCTGAATATGATTTGTTTTATTTACTTCAAGGTAAATCGCACTTTGCGAGCTGTGTCGTCGAGAGTAGGCATTTCTCAGTCAACTGAGTTCTCGCGAAGGCATTTGGTGGCGAATGGCATTCGGACGAATGCCATTTCGTTCGCCCGTGTGGCACCGCGTGAATGGCAATAAATCTGAAGGCATTCGGGGGTAAATGCCATTTTCTCTGCCCGTGTGGCACGGATATTAGGTACATAACAGCTGCACCTTGTCAGTACTTACCTACGGAGCAGAAACCTGGAAGCTTACAAAGAGGGTTCAGCTTAAATTGAGGACGACGCAGCGAGCGATATGGGTGCAACCTTAAGAGACAAGAAGAGAGCAGAGTGGATCAGGGAACAAACTGAAGTTGAGGACATCATATAGTTGATCATAATAATAACAATAATCTTTAATTATCGCTCATTTCATGAAAAAGTAGTACGCATATCAGGCCTGCCAAATCCACATAGGGCTTGAGTGGCAGTGCCTGGCAGCAGCGGAAACCAGCAATCATTGAAGTTAAACATTTGCTTATATGAGAAAATGAAATAAAATAGAAACGGCACGAGAGAAAGAGAACAACCACTTCACTTACGACAATAATTAAATCCTTAGCCTGAGAACCTGTTTTACTGTATGTTTAGTCCGGATGCACAGTACACCAGGAAGCAACCTATTGAAGCGCAGAGGAACATAGCAGTCTCGTATTCTGTTTTCCGTAGCTTGTGTTACGCCTCGGTGCTACAAATGGGTCCTTGCGTCGTGAACAACGTGGAGGAACATACTTTGTTTTGAAACTGTTGTTCCAAAAGTACATAATTACTACACCTTCTATTAGTAAGCGAGTAAAGTCCGGCAACCATACAGTTTTCAAAACATCATTTTTGGCATTGAGGTTGAGGTCATGTTTTTTTTTTAATGCATGACGAATAATAGAGTTAACCCTTATTTACCAGCGTTCCGCACAATGGCCATGTATTGTTATGCCGTACCGTACTACACTGAGCTATATAGACAGTGTCATCAGCGTATTGATATAAACCAACTGGGACCACATTAACCAGGTCATTCACAAAAATGTTATATAACCATGGGCTAAGGATGA